TCCCCGGCCCTCCCCGGCCCTCCCCTGGCCTCCCCGGCCTCCCCGGCCCTCTCCGGCCCTCCCTGGCCTCCTTTTCTATCTTGACCAAAGGGGAGCATTTACATGCTCTTTACCCCTTTCCGGGGAGAACGCGCAGCATCTATGACTCAGGAAGCAGGCCTCCCGTCTCTGCTCCTGGGCCCAGAAGCAGCAGCGCAGGCTCGGACTCGCTGGCAGCTTTCCCGGCCCTTCCCGTGTGGACCACCTGATGCAGCTTCTGGCCGGGCCACAGGGCAGCTTCCAGCAGTGAGAGGGGTCCGGGTCCAGGGCGACAGCTGGTCGCTTGCCCCCCAATCCTCTCACTCTGTTCTAACTCAGAGGCTCAGGCCAACACCGAGCTGCTTAGAAACGCTCACTAACTTAGCATGTGGGTCCGTGACCGGGACACGTGAGAATTCTCAAAGCACACCCAAAGGGCCACACCATTGCTGTGCAGCCTTTTTATTTTTAATGTCTTTTTATGGATTTTAGAGAGAGAGATAGAAACATCAATGATGAGAGAGAACCATGGACGGGCTGCCTCCTGCACGGCCCCCACTGGGCAGTAAGCCCACAGCCCAGGCACCTGGCAGACCGGGAGTCGAACCCTGACCTCCTGAGCCACGCCGGCCGGGCTGTGGCACCTCCTTTAAATGGCCCTGGCCCTGCGCTGCCTCCCAGTGTCGTGTAAGCGGGCATTGGGCTGGCTCCGCACTGAGCCGCTCACTGATGCGACCAGATGCTGGGCCCGGAGTCCAGGGCTGGACCGGCTCGCGCCCCGTGCAGTGTGGACAGGGGCTGCCCGAGAAGCGCCACGGAGCTCAGCTGCCGGCAACGCTGTCCGGTTGTCTCAACAGACACCGGCTCACGGGCTGGCGAGGCACCGCCACGGCCTTGGTCACTGTCTACCTCTCCCAGCCAATGTTTGCCAGCCTGGGGCAGGCAGCCGCAGGCAGACACACCGCGGCGCCAGCTGCTCCGGGTGTGCACCGAGGCCCCCAGGTCGCTCGGACTCCACTAGGCAGCCAGGTCTGACCCACACCCGCCCCGGGAAGAGCTCTGGGGGGCAGGCTGGCGTGTGTCTGCCTGTTTCCGCTCGAGGCGGCTGCTCCTCCGAGAACGTCGGAACTCAGCACGGCCCTCCCCCCCGAGCCTCCCTGCCAGGCCCAGCTGCCCTCGGTCAAGCAGCGAGAAGTCGCTCCAATCGTTTTCAGTCGCTCACCAGCGTCCACTCGTGAAGGCAAAGACCGTGAGAACGGACTGCACCCACACTGACCTTCTGACAGGTCAGGATAAATGACAGCAAAGTGAGCCACACAAAAATGAAGACAATGTCTGCAGAGCACACAGGCGGCCGGGGCGCATTCTGTTCGAGCTGCAGTCAGGGCAGAGCCGTGGGGGCACTCAGGGAGCAAGCATCTGTCAAGGAAGAACTCCAGATGCCCGCGGAGGGTGGGGAGCTGTTGAACTTATCAAAGTGTGCGGACAGGTAGCTGGTGAGACAGGAGCCGGGCGGGCAGGGGTGAGCGAGGGGGCAGGTCACCTCCCACATTCCTGCACGTCCACAGGCCGGAGGTAAAAAAAAATTATTTAAATATATATATTTTTAACCATATTTTTATTGATTTCAGAGAGGAAGGGAGAGGGAGAGAGAGAGAGAGAAGCATCAGTGATGAGAGAGAATCATTGATCAGCTGCCTCCTGCACGCCCCCCCCCCACTGGGGATGGAGCCCGCAACCCGGGCCTGTGCCCTGACGGGGAATCGAACCCTGACCTCCTGGTTCATAGGTCAGCGCTCACCCACTGAGCCAGGCTGGCCGGGCCCAAGGTAAAATTTTTAAGCCCAAACAGGCTTCACCAAGGCCAGACCGCTGGGTCCATCTCAGGGCACTGTTCAGCCACTTAGACGGCAACGCAGTCTCATCGCCAAGTGCCTGTGACAGGGATAAGCGAGGGTGGGGGCAGGGCTGAAGGGACGGGAGCGGGAGTCCAGGAAGACAGAGCCCACACACCCTGAGCGGGCCACTGTCCGGGGCCCCTCCCCCCAAGGTGCCCACTCAGTGGTCCGGTGGTCCGTCTGCGTATTCCCACGCGGCCGGTGAACGCTCACAGGCTCAGCCGCACTTAGGGCAAGAACCGAGGCCTCGTCGTCTCGCGGTAGCATATTCCCAGCCGGTGCGCGGCCGGTGCTGCCATTCCGGTGGGGTGGACGTGGAGGCGGTGTGTCCGTCTCACCAATGTGCGCAGGACGGGCAGGCGTGGCCTGGCCTCAGCTGACCAGCGGGGCAGCACGGGGCGATTGGTCAGTCTCCAACTCCAGAGGTATTTCCCCGCCGTCCACATGCAGAACAAAAGCGTGCTGGTGTGGCTCAGTGGTTGAGCATTGACCTACGAAGCAGGAAGTCACAGTTCAATTCCTGATCAGGGCCTGGTTGGCTGGCTCGATGCCTAGGAGGGGGCGTGCAGGAGGCAGCCAATCCATGTTTCTCTCTCATCATCAATGTTTCTCTCTCCCTCTCTCTCCTTTCCTCTCTGAAATCAATAAAAATATATTTACAAAATTTAAAAAAGTGTGCCTGACAGGGACCTGGTAGTCCCGGGCATCGGGGGCACTGCCCAGGCAGCCCCAGCGGTCAGCTGGCTCGGACGCGGCCACTCCCGCGTAGAGGTGCTGTGCTACCCCACCGATCAGTCCCCCCTGCCCCCTGTCTCCTACAGGTTCTCTCTGAGGAAGCCCCTCACCATGGACGCGAGTGAATTCAGGCGGCGGGGGCGGGAGATGGTGGACTACATAGCGGACTACATCGAGGGCATCGAGGGGCGCCAGGTCTACCCCAGCGTGGAGCCCGGCTACCTGCGCCCCCTGATCCCCAGCTGCGCCCCCCAGGAGCCCGACACCTACGAGGACATCATGAAGGATGTGGAGAAGGTCATCATGCCGGGGGTACGTGGTCAGGTCAGAGGGGGGGGTGCGGGTGTGAACAGGCGCCTGTGGCTGGGGCAGTCCACACGTGGCACCTCCCCTGAGCCTCACGGCCATCCCTCTGGCCAGCAACCTGGTCATTTCTAGTTTGCAGCGGAGGCCACTGAGCCCAGAGAGGGTAGGGGACTAGTCTAAGGCCTCACAGCCGGTGAGCATGGAGCCAGGATTGCAGCCCGATCGGGGCCTCCAGGGCAGTGCGTGTGGCTCCCAGGCCAGCCCTGCTCGAGCCGGTGGGCATGACGGCTGGAGGGGCTGGTTGGAAGTCCCCCCCTGCCCCCCACCCCCTCGTGCAGATTGGAGCACACGCCTCCCTCTTCCTGCTCGCCAGGGGCCAGCCGCCGTCAGAGCAGCGGTCTGTGGATCTATGTGAACGGGGGGCATGGGTGTTCTGTCCGGAGTCACAGTTGGCACAGTGCCCCGAGGGCCAGGACAGGTGTGGGCAGAACCCGGGCCGGCGGTCCTGAGGGGCTGACGGCTCTGGGAGGCAGGAAACACACTGGGGCTTCGTGTCCCCACAGTCAGTCTTTCTCCCCTGCCGGGAGGAAGTCAGGAGCCCCTCGGGTCCTCCCTCCCACACCCTGGCAGCCTGGGGGGGGGGGGGGGCGGGACCAGGCCCCG